CCTTACTAGTAGTAACAAGAAGCTACTAGGGGCTCCTGGCCTTACTACTAGTAACATAGGATCCGTCAGGTGTAATTCGATTCCCAGACGTCGAACCGATCTTCAACGATCTGTTTGCTGCGGAGTTGTTGCTTTACCATCCACCTCAAACCATTGGTAGGTTGGAGGCCATCGCTCTTAGGTTGCACCAGATATATAGAGCCATGCCCACCAATTGCAGATCATTCTGGAGCGGTTGACTTTTCACCAGGTCACAAATCACAAGGCACTTGACCCTACATCAACACACCCGGACAACGTATCACCCACACAGCACTGAAGCACGACATTCGCCATACAGCACAGCGCAGTTCACCACATGGAACCAGGCATCACGTCGCAACACAATCACCCCAGATACCCACATCATTTACACCTCAAATCATCACTAGTATTCCACTTTCATGCCGAACAAGTAATCGCAATAGGGGATTAAAAATAACCTAAGTTCTGTGTACCTTGTAATAGCTTGTACATAGATAGGGTTGTCTTCAAATCATCCGGCACGTCAATCTCGTACACTCTTCTTTTCGAGACTCATGTGAGCCAGCTCGGCCAAAGGATACATGTTTCCATTAAAGACGACATTAGACGATGAATTGTAACTCGGTGTCCTCCTGAATCCTGATTCCTTCATGTTCACCCATTGAATGGTCAGAAGCTTATTTGTCGGCCACTCTGACAAAGGCTGCTTTGTAGCCTCGTGTTGGCCCCATTTAGTCCAACTACCACAGGCAACAATAGTTGAAAAACCTAGGGTATTCTGGGGGATATGTTGATCCAGATCCATTCAACTGATGAAGATCAGGTATGGGCAGGATGTCTCCGCATATTTCAAGCAGACAGAAGCTCTCAAAGACTCTGGTCTCGCAATCCGAAAGTATTGAGCTGAATGCGCTTGTGGCAATGCCACCAAGATTGCTGTGTGTTCCAAGTGAAATATGGCGAACTGTACACTTTTTTGGTGAAGCTGTCACTGCATCAGTCTGGGGCCATCTTTTGGAGGTGTTTGATATTTAGACTCTGCGAAACAGTTCACAGCAGCCATGGAGTGTGCTTTTGCTGGTGGCACTTCGTACTCATACGCGCTGACTGTTGGAGCTGCGGGAACCCTCAAAGCCCAGACTGCTGCCGTGGGCACTGCAGCCAGCGGCGCAGCAGCGGCTGGAGCTAGCCTGACGGCTGGCGCTGGCATAGCAGGCTGTGCTGCTGCCTTGGCGCCATGGGCCCCATGGGCAGCTGCTGCTTTAGCGCCGGCTGCTGCAGTGGCAGTTGGGCTTCATTGGGCTTTGTGCGGAATGGATGCCAAGGGCCCTGCTGAAGAAGCAGAGTTCGTCATGTATCAGGCCCAGGGCGCTGTACCTTGCACCATGCTGCTGGGCGAGGGGCGGTTCGGCAAGGTGTACCAAGTTGGCACCAGCGATGGGCATGTAGTCAAAAGGACAAAGGCAGATGCCTCGTTGCAAGGCTTGGGCGGTGATGTAATCATACCCTTTTACGGCCATTGCGTTATCAAAAATGAGACTTTCATCTTTATGGAGCGGTGCTCAGGAAGCTTGCAAGGCAGAAGCTTCGGGGAGACTGACGCCGCTTGTTTGGTGTGCCAACTGTTTCGCGCATTGCAGCATGTTCACCTGATGCGACTTTTACACAAGCCGGCCAGCTGCTTGGTCAAGGCATGGGCTGGGGCCGTTGCTTCCTGGAAGGTCCGCCTTTCAGACTTCGGGTGCAGCTGTGGCTTTTCTTCTGCAGCCACGTGCCACCAGCAGGAACCCTTGCATTTTGGGCTCCAGAGCTCATCGCTGGCGAAGCGCCTGCTGCATCAGCTGACATTTGGGCAGGGGCTACAACGGCCTGGGCTCTTGCCACGGGAACGATGCCTCCCTCCGTTGAAACCCTTCATTTTTTGAAGTACCCTGAAGTGAGCCAATGGCCTGGGAGCGATGCATTTGGGCCATTGTTTTTGGCATGGTTGGAGGCAACCCTGGCAACCACAGATCGTGCATCTGCAACAAAAGCATTGCAATTGGATTGGCTTCAGGAGGCCCATGCTCTTCACACATTGCTACCGCCAGCGCCGGCTCCGCCAGTTGCCGCCTTCCAGCCGAAAAATGAAAACAACAGTAAGTTCTTGCGTCGCGTGGCCCCAAAGAGGGCTCTGGCCAACACGGCTTCGAGCAGCTCTGAGAGGTGAGCGGGCTTGTCAACTTGCCACTGCGGAAAACGCGACCGGCAAAAGAGCTGAAAGGCAGTGGCAATGGAGAGTGGTTTTGAGGGGTTGCTGTCGCTTTCGTTTGTGCTGATCCTCCCAGTTGAGCAGCCATCTGTGCTGTTTGATTCTACATGCCAGCTCCAGTGTTCCAGAGAAAACACACGTCCTGTCACCCGAACACAAGGTCCACAAAAAATCGCTGGAACATCCGTTGTGGACTGGATCTGCGCTTCACCACAATCATGTGTTTTCATTGTTGACTCATACGCAGAAAGAATGTGAACATGTGGTTTGCTGGCCGCCCCCGCCCCTTTTTCGGTTGCATTTGTTATGCTCAAGCAGGGTCGGCAGCTTTGTTGAGTGAGAGCAGCTCTTTTCGCAGGCTTTTCTGCAGAATGTGCAGGGGCATTGTCCCTCTCAGAGGCATGGTTCTTAAATGATCCGTTTGACCCTAAAAGGTTTCACTTGTCAGGTGATTGGCAACGCCAATGCAATTGGCGAGGAGATTGACACGACCTTCTTGGTTTCACCAACAAATCAAATCTTGGTTCTTGAGGACTTTTCCTGCGGGCTGCTCAGCCAACCAGAGGTTGGCTTCGAAGATTCAGATCGCGGACGTGATGAAAATTTGGGAAGACGTTGCATGTTGCAATATGTTCGCGGACGTGTTCATGTATCACGGCCATATTGGCACCCCACGTCAATATTGGCCGATTGGGGAAAGGTTTCTTCACAATTTAGTCATGTGTTTGGCTCTTACTAGGTTGGAGGCCATCGCTACTAGGTTGGAGGCCATCGCTCTTAGGTTGGATGCCATCGCTACTAGGTTGGAGGCCATCGCTCTTAGGTTGGAGGCCATTGCTAGTAGGTTGGAGGCCATCCCTACGAGGGCCAATCCAGCTCGTTCTGACTTGAGGGCTCGCATTCGTCTAACTGGTTGGTCCGAGCCTCAGTACCTTCCTTCAGGGTTCGCTTGCTTTGTGTATCCATGTGTATCCTACGGTGCTTTTTGGGGTGGGACTTGCCAGACTGCTTGCGGCCCCAAGGTGTTTTGGCTTATCGGTCTGCTTTTCTGCATGGTTCTAGGTGCGGTGATGCATCGGTGAAGGCAGTTTTCAGCCCTGGCGACAAGTTCTTTCTTTGTTCGTTTCTAGTAGCGATGGCCTCCACCTAATAGCGAAAGATTGGAAAATGCAACCCTCACAAGGTAAACGTTTACCAAGTATCGGTTCATCAGGAATTCCTTCTCAGCATGGCACACGGTCAAAGCCTGGCCGAATAGACTGCAAGGATATGCAAGGATGATCCATAGATGTCCGGGCACGTAAACGTATTGTCAAACGGCAAAGATCACGATCAAAGCACGTCTTACCATTCTTACCTGCACAAGAGGTTTTACTAGGTTGGAGGCCATCGCTACTAGTTGGAGGCCATCGCTAGTAGTTTGGAGGCTATCGCTTCTAGTTGGAGGCCATCGCTAGTTGGTTGGAGGCCATGGCTACTAGTAACAAGAAGCTACTAGTAGCACTCTTCTTCGACTTCTATCGCATCGCTGTCATCGTTTTCTCGTTCACCCATTCTGCCACCACCTCCAAGCGACCACAGATTCAGGAAAAAGGGCAGCAACTATTCGACTTTATTCTTCAAGCTGTAAATAGTTGGCGGACCATACGGTATCCAAGCTCCCCCAGCGGAACCTCTAAACCCTTGCTGAGCGTTGGTGATATGAGTGCTGGCGAGTTGGCATTGCTGCAGAGAATGCAGAATTCGCCTGCTCGCGCTACAAGAAAATGTATATTTCATCATGCTGGTCACTTTATCATGTTTGGTCTTCACCGTTTCTTGGAGACTGCAACATGCTTGCAATGCTTGTGTGTTGGTGAGGCGGCATGTGTTGCTATTGGACGAAGCAGAACCATTTGACGATTGCAAGCGTCCCAGACAACAAGAAAGTTGGGATACCATCGCAACAAACCTATTAGATTGGAGGCCATCACTACTAGGTTGGAGGCCATTCCTAGTAGTTGGAGGCCATGGCCATTAGAAACAAAGAAAAAGAAATTGAAGAAACGTCTAATAGGGGAACAAGGACGCTACTAGGGGCTCCTGGCATCGCTACTAGGAGCAAGGAC